TAAAAAAAAACCCGGGCGATATTTTGCAATGATGCATAAAATTCTGAAACCCACCTGATAGAAATGTTCCAGGGGATAAAATGAACACATTTTGTCAGGTGAAACTGGTCCTGGAAGCTCATCACCGGTTTTATAACAGTCTGCCTGTTAGAGCCACTGGCGGGCGATATTTCTGCAATAATGCAAAAAATTCAAAAACCCACCTGGGAGTAATACAGTTGGTTACTAGTGTGGTAAAAAACGGATAAAAAACGAGTGAAAAAGGAAACAAAAAGTTATTATTTTCACCCGGAGAGGGAGGAGGACTAGTTTTTTTTCTCTAATTCAAAGTCTATCTGCCTCATATGTAATTCGAGCGCGCAGTCTGGACCAGTGAGGGACTGAGCTCTTCAGCACCTATAGATGACACCATCCTGCATGCTGCAGATTGAGGTTTGAAATAGTTGTTGGAGATTTGTGAATCTGCACCATCGAAAGTCACTTTTTGTAATAGTATAAACGAGAGAGTTTTATATTGTGTGCTTTGACTTTGAAAAAAAGGGCGGTACTCGTGGTAGTCATGTTGACCCTGATAGTTTTTTTGTTTTGTTTTTCCTCTCCTGTATGGAGAGAAGAGAGGAGAGTTCTTTGAATAAATGGAGATGAGATGCCGTGCTCCAAAGTTATTTGACTCTGTGGTTCTCACACTGGAAAGAGGACGGTCAGCTCATTGGTCACAGAGCAGGAGAGGGCTCATTTACCGTAAAATTCCATATAAAGTACACCATCATTTATTGTCTTTATTGATGCTGACAGAATACTTTTGATTCTCACAATAATACGGGACAAAGTGCACATTTAATTCTAAATCCAGGATTATTCCACTTTTCAAGGGATGGTTTGCAACCCTAATTAGCCACGCTTGTTTAAAATCTGACCAGCACCCCATGACAGAAATAAAAAAACAGTCTGGCTGTGGAAATTCACTGGTGAATGAATGTCATTAGGTGGGAAACATAGTTTAATTCATATTGAATGTAGTTTGTTACACACTAGTGATTAAAACAAGCATTTATAACTGGATTTTTAAAAATCTATATTTACATTTACTTCCCCCAGTTATTTCCCACACATACTTCAAGAACTAACAGATTATTTAAGATCTAATATTGGAAACTACAGTAGCATGAAAGGGGAGGGACAATATGCATTGCTTTAGTTTTTAGTATATATTAGAATATAAAAATGACAACTGTACTATCAAGTGAAAAAAAATTAACATGTCAGTTTATCAGAAAAAATACAGATTTGAAGACAGTTTATTAAAATAATCATATACTTACCAAGTAGTTTATTTTAATTGTGAAACCGTTTAAAGTTAGAAAAAAATTGAGAATTAGATGAATTGCATTAATCAGCAGAAGCATCTTGTCTTTGTCTATGAAGGGGATTCCATGTTTGTGTCTAACGAGACTGCTGCCTTTTCAGCCCACTAGCACTACAAAAGAAGTCATGCTCATTACAGATCTAAAACCCAGAGACACGTGGGAAACCATAAAGTGTTCTCACACCAGTGGATAAAGAGGAGAATTGTTCCAGAGCTGCCTTCCTCAGAAGTTTCTTCTGGACTTTCTGTTGTCACCTTTTTTTTGAGTTCTTCTCAGAAACTGTGGTTCAGAGAGGAGCTTTGTTTTGCTAGAAGACTTGGCCCTCCGGATAGTGAACTTTAAAACAGTGGGTGTGTTACAAGAGAGCTTGTTCTTTGTTAGAGAGCATCATGCTGCTCGTTGACTCCTCACTGCTTTTTACAGTCCTAAAACCCCCAAACTGCCTGTGGTCACTGTGGTTTTCTGAGAAATTGCTCTCTCCTTTGTCATTTCTGCTGTCTAGAAGCAGGAGCTGGTGGGCAGTAAATTACTCTAAACATGTGGCTCTTTGATTGTACTTTTTTATATAAAGACTGCTAATAGCAGAAACTGTGTGCTACTTGCAAATGTATGTCATTTTCAGACATTGTTAGCAGAGTACAGTTGCATAATGCACAAAAATGCAACAAAGGCATAATGATGTTTTATAAAACAACTGCACTTATAATGTGAATAAAAACAAATTTTTATATTCTTAAGTCATTTTGTATGTACTAAAATCTCTATTTGTCAATTTTACCATCCTTAACAAGTCTTGGAATTGTAAGCAATGTCCTAAAAATGTTTTAGTTTTAGTTGATTGATTGATTGATTGATTGATTGATTGATTGATTGATTGATTGATTGATTGATTGATTGATTGCCAAAAGAGAGAATGGTAGGCGTGTGTTCATGTGTCCATGCATAAATTTGTCTGCCTTTGGCATATCTCATGAACCCCTGAACAAATTTCAATAAAATTCTCAGCAAGCAGTCATTGTGTGAAATCCAAAAGTTAATCATTCTTAGATATACACCCAATTTAAAATGGCTTCCACAGCAAACTGACCATAGAAACACCAAACAAAAAAAGGCCTAATTCATCAAATTTCCAAAAATAAAGCTAATTTGTTATGGTCAGGGCTGATTCTAGGATCTAACCTTTGAGGACATTAATATGGCATGGTATGAGGGCCAAAATTAAGACAATTGTGCAACCAATGATTGCTACATACTTGTAGTAGGTATCTATATTTATTCCTAAGCCAGCCATTGATCTGATTAATGATAGGCTGGCACTGCTAACTGAGCAACTGGCTCTGGTAACTGAGAGGCCTAAGGTTAGCATTGGAGAGGCTAGTGATTTAGCGATTGCTAGCTTTTCCAATGCTAATGCTAGCTTATCCATGCTAGTTGCTAGCCACTCCAATGCTAACACCAGCCTGTTGTTTTCTTGTTATCTGTTCATGTTCCTGGAGTTTTGTATGTACATTCCATCGCTGGACCATCAGTCATACAGTTCTGCATCTGGAGTTCAACCTTTCAAGCATTGTTAAACAATATCTGTAAAATTGGCTGAATTTATAGCCATTTTTGTGTTTCCAAAGGTCAGTTTGCTGTCATAGCCAACTTGAATTAGGTTGTCTCAAGGGCATTAAAATAAGCTGTAATGTGACCCCCAAAAAAATTGTTTTTATGTTTTAATTTAGAATGGTTACCAGAATCATTAAAATTGTAGGTAATTAAGAACAAAAAGAGCATATAAAAAATAAAGGTAATTTTCTTTTGTGTAATTTGATACACAGTTTTTTATTTGAACTTATTGGTGTAGAAGCTGATGATTCTGTCAAAAGTTTGATCATTTTTTACTTTTGAGCTGATTTTTCACACTGTGGAAGGTTAAGGCAAAACTGAGAATTAGTTTTGACAGAACTTAAAATAAAACATCTAGACAGTGAATCTCGAAGGACAATCTAATTCTGTTTCAGGGTGATGTTTCTCATTCCTTCCCACTCATTCTGACAGAATTTCTGCAATCCACCTGTTTACTCTAACAGATTCATCAAGACGTAACATAAATACTGTGTAATCATTTAGCTGCAGCGTAGTGTAAAAATATGTGTGAATGCTGTCATGCTGAAGAAAATGCAAATTTTTCTGTGGTTCTTGGTTGACTATTGGTCGGCTGTCTGCTCGGTTCTCTAGAGGGGAGGTCTAGTGAGGAACACGGCAGAAGGTGAAAATGGGATTTCTTCACTGTCAGTTTTGAACTACAACCTTGCACAAAGCTAGAGAGAACTGTATTAATAGAATCTAAGCTTGAAGTAAATAGCGTTTCCTCAAACATTTTTATTAGTTGCTACTTTATTTTTTATTTGTGTGTGTGTGTGTGTGTGGGGTGGGGTATTAAAAAACTCAAAATCTGCATCATATTTTTCATGGAGATACACACATCTCTAGCTTTCCCACTTCTCAGAAAGATTTGTGTGAATGTACCTTTTTAAATCTGCCATTTTGCCTGAGTGGATAGATAAAAAGATAAATGAAATCTAGAAAGATACCTAGGCTTGATTAGCTCTATGGTTCATAGTGGGTCATGTGCCCCATCACCTGACTTATTGGTTCTATTCTTTACTTTGCAAAGTCTCTGAACATTTTGTGTAGTGCAACAAAATAAATGAGTGCCCTTGTGTGAAAAAATGAAAATAAAATCAACAAGATTCTAAGAGATGAAAATCAGAAGGCCATGTCACACTACGTTTTAGACAACTTGTGCCAATTTTGTCGAACACGTCGCTGTAAGTTGCAAAAGTTAGGTGTAAGTTGTGAATATGTTGTCAGAATGATGGCCCGACAATAATTTTGGACATGTTCAAAATATGTCAGCTTATGCCAGTGTGCTGCTGATAAATGAGGCATAAGTTACAGGTAAGCTACGGATAATTTATGCATCAGTTCACATATGTTTTAGGTAACTTTTAAAACTTTAAAATTTGTTATCCCTAAGTCCAACACCAGCGGGACACTTCTGAGGCAGCATGTAAGTTTTAAACAATTGAGTACCAGCAATTAGCTACAAGGCTCATGTAAAAGATAGTTTAGCTTTTTCATAACGATTACTACGTATTATAATAATAATAATAACAATACAGGTAAACTAAGCAACAAAAATCAACAGAATTGATGCCAAAAACATTTTTTTTTTCATATTTCATATTTCATCAATAAATGCATTAATCAAAAATAATGTCCCAGTCTGATTTTATTTCACCAGAACGGTCCGTGTACATTCAGGCAGTTCGTTTTTTCATTTTTTGTTTCAAATGAAAAAGATGAACTGCCTAAATGTACATGGACCCAGAAGCTTGTTTAAAATTGTGTAATTCTGTATTAAATTTAAATTTTCAGATATATTCATGATCAATTTTAAACGTGACACTTTGAAAGAAAGAACTGGTTGTGGCGCAAAAAAACATAAAATAAAATAAAAAACAAAGCCACAGCTTTACTTTAATCCTGATCATAACCAACAAATATGTTTTGCTGTTAATATTGTTTAATTCTCCGGAGAAGTGAGCGTCAGATCAGCACTGATGGAAGCTCACACCGTGAGCTGCAACTGAGACCTCACGAGAGCTGTGCGTGAGTAATATGGCGGAAGGTTGGTAAACAAACTAAACACGACTCAGTTAAGGTATAAAAAACTGAAATATATTATTATTACTATTATTTTCATAAATACTAATCTTTGCATCCTTTTTTTTACAATCAAACAAACTGGACGGGGAAGCCTTGGAGAATCTGGAGTGTTATCTGGACGCGTGTTTCGATAAATTCGTAATGGGCAAGAAAAAAAAAACCACTGCCTTAAACACGGCCACACCAGTGAGTAAACGCACGCGTTCAGAGAGCTCGGCCAGTACCTCCACTGCTTCTCCAGAAAAAAGCTTCACGGAGGTTCTGGACTCCATTGATAAAAAGCTAACTAGCTTAGATGCCCGACTCGCCCTGGTAGAAGTTCTTCACAGGGAGTTCCAGTCCCTGAGAGAGTCCCTGGAGTTTAGCCAGGAGCAGGTAACAACACTCGTGGCAGAGAACAAAACGCTGAGGGACAACATGAAACATCTTACCGAGGAGATGGCGCAGATGTCCRGAGAAAGCAGGAAAATGAAGGAAACAATTCTGGATATCCAGGCTCGGGGCATGCGTGACAATCTGGTCTTCTCCGGGATCCCAGAGCGAGCTGAGGAAAACGCTGAAGCCTTGGTCCGGGATTTCATTCAACATCAGCTAAAACTTCCAGACGACACAGTTAAAGACATCACATTCCACCGTGTCCACCGACTCGGAGGTAAGCGACCCGGCARCAACAGACCTCGCCCAATTATTGCTAAATTTGAGCATTTCAAACAGAAAGAGCAGGWGAAAAGCCGAGGCAGAGAGCTGTGTGGTACGGATTTTAGCGTAAACGACCAGTTTCCCAAAGAAATCCTGGATCGGAGGTGCGTGTTATTCCCAATCAGGAAGAAAAACATCAGTGAGGGCGCCAGAGCTACAATAGCTGTAGATAAACTTTACATCAATGGCCAGCTGTTCAGAGACCGTGAAATCACTCCATGGCTTTATTAAGAACTCCATAAAAGGTTAGTAAAATATTTAAAATATTAATAAACATTTACCAATTGTAATTAAATTGTAAAGCACAGCTCAGATGGTGGTTTGCACTTTTGGTGGAGCACGGAGTTATGGTGGTTCTTTTGAGTTTTTCTTATTTTTGTTGTTTTTTTCCTTTCCTCTCTTTTTGCTTTTTTCACTCTCTTTTTCTTCACTTACATCACTATTTTTTCCTTTTGTTCTTTTTCTTTATACAGCAGTTATTTGTACACAAGCACACGGACTCACGCACACCCATATCTCACACACAGACATTTCATAAGTAAACATGACAGGTTTCACTTACTYTMACCTGCAGCACCTGCTTTACTGCTTCCTAAAACATACCCTTTCATCTACTGCTATTTCAACTCAGATTATGTTTGTGTCCGGGTCTTGGTATCTTTATGGTAACAGGTGTGGCATAACTTTATTTTCTCATATACGGGTATGGGCTCACTAAGATTTGTCACTTGGAATGTGAATGGAGCCGGAAGCCAGCAGAAAAAATAYAGGATTTTTGATCAAGTTAAAAGATTAAAGGCAGATGTTGTCTTACTACAAGAGATTCATAAATCAGATTCAACTATGGTTGATTTTAAATCCCCTGAGTTTCCTAATGTATTTTCATCCTGCTATAACTCAAGACAGAGGGGWGTAGCAATATTAATACATAAAAATATTAACTTCACGGTATTAGATACAGTTAAAGATCCAGAGGGGAGATATATAATAGTTAAATTATCTATTCATAATCAAAAATTCTGTATTGTTAGCTTATATGGCCCAAATGTTGATGACACCTCCTTTTTTCATGACTTCTTTTCTGCACTRTCAGATCACCTTGATTGCTCTCTAGTTCTGGGAGGTGACGTCAATTTTTGTTTAAATGATGAGATAGACAGGCTGAATGCAGCAGGAACTCAGCGCAGTTGGCAGTCTATAAACATAGTTAAACAATATATGAGTGATTATGGACTTTGCGATGCATGGCGTTCTCTTCACCCTGACAGCAAGGAATATACCTTCTTCTCACATGTTCATCACTCTTTCTCTC